GGGGGGGGGGGTGGCTGTCTCAGAAGTTGGCAGGTGTCAAAGGTGTATGTGGCTGCGGTTGACTATTCTTTTTCCTTAGGAAGGTTTCTAACTGAGTGAAATTACCCTGAAGTGCCTTAGTGTCAACCGTGATCAGCCATGATCAGGCCATGATCAGGCATGATCAGCCATGATCAGCCAATGATCAGGCCATGATCAGGCCATGATCAGGCCATGATCAGCCATGATCAGGCCATGATCAGGCCATGATCAGGCAGTGGCTCAGTCAGTAGGGGTTTGGACTGTGAGCCGTAGTGCTGCCGGTTCAAGTCCCTGTGGACTCTGTGGATTGCTACTTGGAGAGGTCCCAGTTCACCTCCTGGGCCCTGCCGTGGTGCCCTTGAGCAAGGCACCAGACAACCCCCTCCCCCCCCCACTCACATTGCTCCCTGGGCGCTGAACAATAGCTGCCCACTGCTCCTGGTACTAGACTCCTGGTGCTAGGATGGGTTAAATGCAGAGGCCAAATTTCACTGTGTGCTGTGTGCTCTGCATGTGAGGCAATTAAAGATGGGTTTCATCTCTCCGATTCTATTATATTCTATTAGCTGTTTGAATGACCTAGAACAGGGGTGTCCAAACTACAACCTGGGCACCGACTGATTGTCCACTTTTAATTGGCCCTCATCAAATTCTAAAAGTATAATGGGACATGTCCCACACCTGAAACTTGAGCTTTTCCTATATTGTACTTCTTAAACATATATATGAACATATATCACGCAGTAGTATTCATGTGTTAATAAGCTCACTTTTCAAATACATTCAGTCAATTAAAAGTTGAAAACATTTTCTCACAAATCTTAGTTGATAAAGCTTGAAATATCCCCTTCATATCTCCCCCTTATTATCAGCAATTTGAAGCTTCCGTTTTAAGGGATGAGCTGCAACACTGTTTGTAACACAATAAAGTAAACCCTCTGGAGAGCTGTGAAGGATGCTGTTTGTTTTCTTAAAGCATTGTCAACTGTCAAGCATAATTGACATTTATTTGATTGCTTTTTCTAACTTATGACTTTGATGTTACTTACTGAGCTGGGTGGTGTTTCTTATGTTATTGTTTGAAATTCAACATGTTGGAATGACGATACCCACTGTCTTGGTTTAAAAGATATATATACATCCCAGAGTCGGACCAGAGCTAATAAGGCTTAAAAGGAGTCCAAACAAGTTGGTAATATCCAAAGTAAGTCATGATAAACTAGTTCTCGCTTCATGTCCATTTGCCACAGTTCAGCAAACAATCTGTGCAATCTCCAATAGGAACAGTGTGACTTTGGAAGATATCCACTTTATATGTTTACACCAGCTAAAGAATCCTCATGTCAGCTTCTACTCATGTAAGGAACAACTGGACCAACAACCTTCCCATACACGTTTTAGCCTGTTGGTAGCAATAGTTATATTATACTACTTTTCCACAGTTTGTGTAAAATGGTAAGGTAACATCTAAGGACTACAAGGGGCTAGGAAGGGATAACAAAAATAAGCAACCACCAGCTGGTACTGGTAAAAATAAATGCCATCAGTAATTTATTGTGAATCTGTTATTCATTAAAGAATATAGACACTAAGCTATTACTGTGCACACTACGCATGCAAAATATAAATAGACTGGCCTATTTTGGAATACGGATCTCTGTGAAACTTCATTTTTTTCCCCATTTACAGAGCTAGGACTGTATATATATACCTCGTTTCTTTTCAGCGCACGCACAGAATAGACAGCTAGCTATTGTGAGGAAATATTGGTCGAATTAGACTAAGCATGTATTGGATTACAATCCACATTTAAGTAGACGGGAGTATTTTTTACATTACCATGATGGCAGAGGAGGCCTGACCCAGAGCCAGCGTTGCCAGGTTGACCCTGGAGAACAAAACACAATAACATAATAAAGGTTAATATTTCTCTAGCAGAACAAGGACTTCATACTATACAGAATGATCAGGGCCAGCAATCAGAGTCATCTGCAGCAGGTCTTTCCAGGGCCCGCTCATTGACTGCAGTTCAGTTTTGCTGAAGGATGTTGGATTTATTAACAGAATGACTGAAGTCTTTACTTCCCTGAAGTCAGCATGCACAATCAGATACTGGAACAACAGCACTCGCCTATTTGGAAATCGGTGTAGTACCACAAGTAGCCTACTGTACTAAAATATCATTTTGAGATACTTGTACTTTACTTGAGTGTTTCCATTTTATGCTACTTGGTACTTCTAGTATAATTCAGAGGTAAATAATGTGTTTCTACTCCACTAATTATTTGTAATACTTTAGTTCTACCTGGAGTAAATTCACAAGCTACCCTGCAGCATACAAAGTCATTCAAACTACAGTTGTAGCGCTTCATTTCAGACGCCTACCCGTGCGGGTCGGTGATATGCACGGGGTGGGCCCCTGCTGAAAAGGAAAACCCCCCCGCAGGACTTGATATGCCCCCTTGATAAATAAATGTAATTTTAATTAAACCAGCTGCAATGGATCATGGATCCACCAGGAGGAGCCGTGAAAAGCTGCCAACCTGGAACTCATGTGAAATAAACAGCTGATAGATCAGCAGGTGTCTGATATAGCGGATATTTGTTAAGATCCATAATGTCACGGATAGGATCATATTCTGTGCTAAATAAGAGACATGTAATCATTTACAAAACATCACCATGTTTTTATTTAACAAAATAATGTTGTTTAATTCACGTTGGCGTAAGTACAAAACCATCGCTATGTTTTTTCATCAGGAAATGCAGCCCGGCTCAAACAAACGATTTTCAATCATCATCCTCACGATCATTTAATGTATCATATGTTCGCGAATTGAAATGAATGCACTAATACATGTAGTTTAATCCACGTGAGTTTACAACAACAAAAATAATCGCTTTGTTTTTATATCACATCCGACCGGAGGAAAATGCAGCACTGCTCTCACTACCGATAATCCTAATCCCACGGGCAAACAATAATATGTACAGTATTAATAGTTTACTGTATTATTAGTGTCTAATATTACTGCTATAACAATCACACATTGAGTTGTTAAAATCAGACCGTTGTTTTTTTTTTAAACAGTCTGAATGAAACAGCAGCTCTCAGGTGATCAGGTGTATGTTTACCAGTGTTGGGACTAACGCGTTACAAACTAACGCACACAACTACCTTTTGCGGTAACTAATAACGTTACTAGTTAACTATTCCCATTCATACATTATGTGATCCAACTGAACCGAATCTCCCTGCGGATGTAATTTACAGGCGAATACAGCGATGTCCACTCACAGTACCATGGAAAAGTGAAAGTGACCAGAGAGGAGTAATGATTGGTTAACGCGGGATAACATTTCAGGGTAAGCCAATCAGAGACAGAGTTGGGCGGGTCTTGCCTTATGGGGAAAATACACAGACACACAAACACTTGCTAAGGCTAACACACACATATACACGGCAACGCCCACCACCAACACACACACTATGGCAGATGCAAGTATCAGCGAGAGCAGCAGCGCATTTACAACTT